GGGTTTGGCTCCTAGGCCGGGTGCAGCAGACGGGCCCCGCGGTCAGGAGAGAGGTCTGAGGAGGCTCTAAATAAATAAATAAATAGCTTCTGCCCGTCCTCAGGATCCCCGAAGGGCGCCTGTGGCAAGGAGCCGGGATGATGCACACACGTCTTCTGCAGGGGCACCTGCAGCCGTTCTGATCTGAGGGTAATAAAAAGGAAAAAAAACCCCACGCTTTGGTTTACTCACAGTTATATAAGACATCGACTTTTTCACAGCCAAAAGGAGATTTGTGGCTTAGAACTGCAACGGGATGCAGTTGCAACGGTGGCTTTTTCTGTGCGATGAAGCTGTTGGCAAACAAGCGCATGGTGTCTGTTCAGGTGAAATGAGGTCATGTTTTATGTTTGGGTGATTTTCTTAATACCTCTTTGCAATTTTTTTTTTCTTTGTTTCAGGGTAACTAACCAAAGAAGTTATGATTATCACCTGTAGTTTAAAGTTGCCAGGCAGGAACTGTGTTTTCTTTCATTTGACTTCTTTGGCCAAGCAGGAGAAGTGCAATAATCTCCGTAGGCCTTTTGCAGGCTGTTGCCAAGCTCGAGTCCGTTGTACAGGAGATAGATGCCAAAGGCTGGATTTGAGTGGAAAGAATAGAAACTATTTTTTTACTGGAAACCCTGACTCCTGTAAAAACTTCATCAGTAAAGGACTGAGATGCCTTTTGAATGCTCCAAATACAGAAGTATGCAAGAATGCATATGACAGTTTGGGAAGATTTTGCTTCCAATTTGCTCGGCCGCTGAGAGAGAAGACCACCTCCCTCCAGATCAGTTCTGTAGGGCAGGTCCCACATCGCTTTTCTGCTTGGAACATTCGGATCATCAGGTCTTTTCATACATCACCATCGTTTCAGGCTGCACCATTTCCTCTCTGGATTATTGTTAAGCCAGCTCAGAAGTTACTTGCTATCATTCTTGGCAGGTAAACATTATGCTTCCTCAGTGTAAGACACCTTTATGCAAAGCTCTGTGTATGAGTTTGTGGAGAAGGGTAGATGTATTTGTTGTGTTTTCATTTTAACATCTGTGCAGAATTTTGTAGGACGAGGGTCTAGGCTGACAGTTTGCTCAACAAGCAGTTGTTTCCATTATCAGAGGTGTTGGATGTATCTTTTGTTCTTCTCATTCTTACTTAAATATGATAGGAGATGAAAACTGAGGGGCATTATTCTTCTCCAGTAGGAGAGAGCGATAGAGAGAAGCCAGTTATAGTATAACCTTCCATAAGTTCTTACCTGTAATAGAGAGACTGTAATAGAGAACATAGCAAGGGCAGAGACTAACAGATCCCTTTTTAATTATGTCCTAAGCTAACACTGTTTTTATCTTACAGGAGCATAAGAAAGTGGTGGCAGGCACTTCCTCCTAATAAACGGGAACTTTTTAAAGAAAGTGCAAGAAAAAATAAATGGAAGATACTCCTGGGTGCCAGTAGCTTAGGAGTTTTATTTGTCACGTTTTATTTTACTAACTTGGAGGAGACACCCGTCACTGGGCGCACTCGACTGTCAGTGTTTGGAAAAGAGCATTTTAGGGAATTGTCACAGATTGAATGTGATATGGTAAGAAAAATTCAAAATACTCTAAAACTGTTATTGCTTTTTTTTTTTTTCTTGTTTTTTTTCCCCTTCTTTTAGCAATGAGATACTCCAGTTAACAAGATGGGTAAACAGTCCTTGTAGTGTCCCTAAGTTTTGAACCTCATGCTCAGAACCCTGCAGAGCACTCCCATCAGTTACCCCCTCTTCTTGTCCCCGTCCTTTTTAAGAGTTCCCTTTACTTTTCACTCAGGTGCACCTGATAGTTTAGGAGCACATTATGTGAATGTCACAAACGTTTCTAAATGCGTTATTGTAATGTAACAAGAAGTACTGAAATCTGGTAGAAGCAGTAAAAGCAGAGTTAATGGGTGTATGCTGAGATCTGTCTCATTTTCTGTGCTGGTTTGAACATTCTTTGGCACTTATTTAAGGTCTTCCTTTTAGCCAGTCACTTTGTATGGTAATACTCTCCACCTGCATTCAGTTCTACTTCATATTTTTTCATTGGATCAGCTCATTTTTCTTTAATTGCTTTCTTTTAAACTATCCATTGCACTGATTTCTGTAGCTTTGAGTTCTGTGACTTTCTGTTCTCAGGTCGGGGAAGCTTGATAATCCATATGCAGCTGTCACTGTATTCCTGTCTGACAGAGAATGTGAGATAAGAACAGAAGAGAAGTACAAGGATATATTAAATATAAATTTGTCTGCCTCACAAATTGCAACAGAAATACACAGATACAGAAGAATTATAAATTCAAATGGAAATTCAGAAGGTTATAGAAGGGCTTTACCACATTGTGATGCCAAGCTTAACTGTGTATTAGCAAAATGGCAGATACAGGAGGCTGTGGGACCAAGTTTATACTGTCTTATTTTTGATATGTGGTCAATTTACTTCCTTTTAAGTGTATTAATCCTGAGCCTGTGGCTCTGAAGGTCTGAATTCCAATGTATTTGCTTTTGCTATGTGAAAGGAAATGTAATAAACTGTAGATTTAGCGAAGTTGTCTGTACCCTCTAAATTAGTTTACCAGTTAATCATTTACTGTGTGTTTGTTCTGCATGAAATTATTTTTTTTTTCAGTACATGGAGGAATTCAAAAATAAAATGTTACCAGAGACAGATGCACGCTATCAGGTTGTGGAGAGAGTTTTTGGTCACTTGTATGAGAGCAACAAGGACGTACCACAGGTTGCTGCACTCAAGTGGGTTATCCATGTGGTTGACGAACCAGATGTAAATGCTTTTGCATTACCAGTAAGTTTAACCTGGTACAAAAATTATCAGTAATACTGAAACAGTATTTTATTTATGTGTCTTTGTACCTAATTTTCACTCTCTTTTTGTTTACAGAATGGTGAAGTATTTATTTTCACTGGATTGCTAAGCGCAGTTTCTGATGTTCATCAGCTGACTTTCATTTTGGGACACGAAATAGCTCACGCTGTGCTGGAACATGCAGTATGTATTTAAAGAAAGCTGTCTGAAATCTTTATTTAAGTTGAATTATTTTAATTGAGATTTTTCGTATCACTAGCAACCAAAGTTTCAGTGTGACTTTAATTAATGAGAAACTGAGTTTGAAATGAGAGTATTCTGCTATAGTGTGTCCTTATGACTCCTGTTAGTACTTAAGTGTCAGCAGTCCTCTAGTAGTCAGTGTTAGCACAAAGTCTGTTGGTGCTTTCTTCATTACTGTACAGGTGGATTTTGGCTCACTTAACACTCATTTAGTACTTGATCTGCAGATGCCTCCTACTGTGGCACAGACATGAGGAGCGAGAGGTGCTCAGCTCCTCCATTTCTTACTCCTACACTTGATAATATCTACAGAAGTGAATGTACTTCAATAAGTTATTCTAAACTACACAATGTTTTCATTAGAGTAGCGCACAGCTTTAGAATGCCAAATTCTGGATTGCATGGAGCTTAATTTTGCTTTTACAGATGATTGCTTTCAGAGACTTCATTTTTCTGTATCCTAACATGGAAGCTTTGAAACTGGTAGTTCTGTGCCATTTGAACAGAGTGGATGTAGTAATTCTGTTGTGCTTCATAGGTACGACTATGAAAAAAGAGGATGGTGTAAAATACGGCTCGTGTTGTTACAGTTTGGGGTGATTTGCCAGGATATGCTGCTTTACCTCCAAATTGATTTCTTTCTCTGCATGTCATTTAAAAATCCTGTCTTCACTGCATATCCATCAGTTTGGGAAGACATAATCAGAAGCTTGTAAACATAAAGATCCTACTAAAATTGCAAAGCTGATCTGGAAATGGGTAAATAGATTTTAAAGGCAGTGAAAATACAGGAGAATTGGTTTATTGCGTCTTGTACGATTCTGGATGAGCAACAGTTCACATTGTAGTTTCTTGGGCTCAGTTGGGCCAATTAACTTGTTAAACTTCTGAAAATGTATTTCTAATAATAAAAACACCTTACCTTGCTTGTATGGAACCTGTGTCACCCATCTGGCAAAGAGAAAAGTATGGGATGATCCAACTTCTAAGTGCTCAGATTTGTTTGTTGCATGTCAAATAGAGCTCTGAAAAACAGATTTTCAATTTCTTTCTTCAGGATCTCTCAGTTTTTGAAATTAACGGAATGCAACAGAAAGTAAAAAATACATTGTGCCTAGTGTCCCCTTATCCCATTAGTGTTCCTGTCCAAATGATGGCTGTCTCTTCTGAAATTAATGTAAAGAACAGTCCCCCAGGTCTTGTTATAGATTTTCTTTTTTTCTTTTTTTCATTCCAACTGAGGTGTTTCATGGCTTTTGTACTAAAGAGCTATGTCTACCTGTTGCTGTCAGCTTGTCTTAAGCTTTGAATTGCTCAAATTAGCAGATAGCCAAAATGTACATGTTCCACCTGTGTTTATGGAGTTGGTGTAGATTCTAGACTGACAGTACCTTTTTTCCAACTGTTGGTGGGTTTTTTGTACAAGCAGGGGAACTGCTGTTTGCCCTGTTAATGTGGCCGTGTAGAAAAATAGTAGCGATTTGTATCGTGTTTCCAAATTCTACACGAAGTTCTAAAGTAACATCAGACAGTAAGGAATGAAAACGGGACAATTTCTCTTTGCAGGTGGAGAAAGCCAGCCTGGTTCACTTCTTGGATTTCCTGTCACTCATCTTTCTCACTGTGATTTGGGCCGTCTGTCCCCGTGATAGTATGGCAGTTGTTGGCCAGTGGATTCAGAGCAAGTTGAAGGAGGTGAGACTGACCTTTCATATTTTCCTTCCAGAGTTCCATGGATAACTAAATAACATATTTGGGGGAAAAAGGCAAGGCGAGAAATATTATGAGCAGCAATTCATGTTTGAGTATGCTTTTTGATGAAATGTGTTTTTATCAATCTGCACAGGCTTTACTTAGTATATATTTTCATTTGTCATCCTGAAGAACTTTAGATCTCCCTAAATGATGGGATTTAGCTGGCCAAGCCCTGAGCACCTCCTTGCCAATGAAGTTAGATGATTGTCTTTCTGAATTGTTGCTCACCCTTCAAAGTTGTGTATGTTGAAATACCTTTTTTGTTTGTATTTTGACTAGCTGTTAAATTGTTTCTAAACCAAATAAAATATATGGAATTCTTAAATACACTAGTAGTGGTATGAATAGTCTCCAAAATAAGAAAACTGAGAATCTGAACTTTCTCTTAAAGTATAATCCATGCTGTAATAAAACTTACTGAAATAATCTCTTTAGATAGCATCTATTTCAACATAGTAAAATTCAGAGGCGTTATGGTACCAGTTTTCTTGAGCAGTCTAATTTACTCTCTGCCTTTGGACAGTTACAGATCGGGTTCTTTTTGAAGAAAGGGCTGTTTTCTTAAAAAAAAAAAAATTTGCTTACATTGTAGAACTTGAACCTGAATTTAAGCGAAAGAGCTCTTTGATTTCTTTGACTTCTCTTGATGCTTTTCCCAAGGTTTCCCCCAGTTCCTCAAAACCATGAAATTAAACATAAACAATCTGTTTTGGTAGTTCTTATGCTAATGAGTAGATGTGTGGATTCTGAACATAAATTATCTCATAAAGAGCTCGGATATTTGTACAAGTAGCTAAGAAACCAATACATTGATGAATGCTAGCCAGCATTTTGAAGAGCTGAATTTGGAAAAAACAAAGTGTGAATCAATCCTGAGACTGCTCATAATTTAGACAGCAAGATTTAACTCCCTGCCAGCATCTTTGCTCCTCTTCCAGGATGACTGCAATTGCTACTTTGGCATCATGAATTGGAGTTGTGCTTTAGGTTGCTGATGGAATCTGGGTTTTAACCTCATAGTCCTAGTGTGCTAAAGGAAAGATATAACATACATGAGATATTGTACAGCAGCATCCTGGTTTAAAACTCTGATCAAACTCATCTTCAGTAATATTAAACATACCTGTACGTAATGCACAATAAGTGATTAATACAGGCAAAACTTTCACCTACATACAAAGGGTGTTAAATAGAAATTTTTGTTAGTCACCTCAGAGTGCAGTGTCTATTTTCTCCTTTCAAGGTTTGTCTGTTGTGCTTATATGGAAATGAACCTTTCTGCACATTTTCTCTGGATGTTATTTTTCCCCTTCTTCATAGCTATTTTACTTTTTAATGTTTTAGCATCCCGCTCTATGAAAGTGTTATTTAAGCCACATTGCAGTACTTGCTTCTCTTTCAGTATTTGTTTCTCTTCTATGTCCTCTGTGGATTAACTTTTTTTACCTACTGACATATTTTTTTGTTATTGACCAGAAATAGTTTCCAGTCACCCTTTGTAGGCTGGCATATGAGCTCCAGTTCTGCTTTTTTTCTCCAAAGCTAATAGGTTTGCTTGCCCTAAGAAATTGTCAGATTCTCTTCTGGGATTCATTCATAGTTCTTTAAGCATGCATTTCTGAACTGAAACTTTGTTTTTTCAGGAGCAGTTATTTTATATGACAATGAAAGCCGAGAAATTATTCATGGAACAGCACAAAGTATGAGTCTGAGTTTTACTCATGTCCTGCACTAAAGCATTTGCAGATACAGTACTTCATATTTCTTTTATTGTCCACCTCACACCATCAGATTTGTTCACAGAGGGAAAGTAAAGGAAATAAGAGCAATTACAGGGTGCTGGTTTCTTCAGATGCCATCCCTGCTTCTCTGCAAGTCTGCAGCATGGATAGGTCCTGAGCTAGAGACTGCGTTAGTGTTGTGTTTGTTTGTATTTGCTGGCAGTGCTTGGACAGACATACAGGCAGATAGTAATACCTTAGGGCAAATCTTTTTTTGAGATGGATGCTACCCCTTCTTATTCAAGTTTGTTGTAAACATCTCAGAGAGGAAAACCACAAGTGGTCGCAATTAAAGAAATAGAAAATTGCCTGCTTGTGTAAGCCTCTGTTCCAGTTAGTGCGTTGGGTAGTCCTGTTGCCTATTACCAATTCTGTTCCTCTGCCTGAGAAATGTTTAATAATGAAACAAGTAGTTTATCTGGCTAATGAGAAATGGTATTTCTGAAATATGTGACAGACTAGCCAGGGATATATTTGGCCTTCAGTGAATATATGCGTTCCAGTAGACCCAGAGCACGTTCAAGGCAATAGAAATATATATTCTGCTTCAAGTAATGACTTGATCATCAGAGGATTTTAAAAATACGATGTTGATGTTTAAGGTCTGTAAGAAAACTAAAAATTTAGAAAGTGACCTCATCTACAATTACTTATAAACCAGTGTGTTTGGCTTTAGAAAACCTGTAAAGGATCAGCTTTGGTTGGCTTATATTTTTTGATCTAGTGAAAACCGTCAGTACTACTTTAAAAAGAAGCAAAAAGTTACAGGTAAGTTTATCTATTCGAGGGATTGGACTACTTCTTTGATGCTCTTCATTTATATCTGTTTTGGGGTTTTTGTGGTTTTGGTGGGTTTTTTTGTTTGCCTTCCCCTTCCCCTCCCCCCCCCAAATTTATAAGGAGGATATGTCTTCATAACCTGATAAAGAGTTGATAAAACCTTTCTGTCTTCACTAACCCAAATCTTTAGTTGATATTTCTTAACTGATGCCAAGACCATAATGTCGTGATATATTCCTTATCTGTGCAGCAGCAGACTGTTGCTCCTGGTTTGTGCTTCCTATAACCTGATATACTGATATATTTGGGCAAGGCTGCCCAAATCTTCCTTAATTATATATGCCAGAAGATCCCAAATTAGATGACTAAGCTGTTTGAGAAGACTGCAATGTCATTCCCTAGGAAAAAGGGAGAGAAGTTAGTCAGATTTATGTCTTCCAGTTTGATTTCTCAAAGGCCATTTGCAACTTGTTTTGGGGGAAAATCATGACAAAGGAGTGATAGCTCCATGAGAATATTTATGGCTACATCCCATACTGTGGGCTTATTGCCATATGTCACTGAAGTGTAAGGGAGCTACTTTTTCTTTTTTTTGCATACAGTTGCTTCAGCAAAAGTCTTCATGCAAGTAGAGCCAAGTGAAAAAACATCTAGTTTTAAGTCGGCATTGACCCTTTGGTTGCAGCAAAATGCTGTGAGACTTGACTGGTGAGAGGGGCCTTGAAAATATGTGTAATTAATTTCCACTGAATACAGTATCAATGAATTACATGTAATGGAATTAAATATTACATTAAGGAAATTACTACTGATCACATGCAGTGTGGACATGATGGATAAACACCATTTCTCATGAGAAGGTTAGAAAAATAGCTACAGTGCTTTAACTTTGTACACATCCGACACCAAGAAATAGAGCTTTGATGTGCTTCTTTGCAGTTTATATTTAATAGACCATACAGCAGGACGTTGGAGGCGGAAGCTGATAAAGTGGGACTTCAGTTTGCAGCGAAGGTAACTACAACTCTTTTGTTTTATTAGCTATTTACCAGACACTTTTCAATTTCCATTCTAATCAGAGGGAGTTTCACGCTTGATACAGAGGGGAATTGTGTGCGCAGGAAGGTTCCCCAATTTTCCAGGAAATGTTTGTTGTGGAAGTAGTGGGAAACAAAACAGTTTGTAGCGAAAGACAGTCATTGTGGCTAAATTGTATGTAATAAAATTGAAGTTTGTGAAGTTGTGCCTTATTAACTGCACAGTACATTTTCTATGTAATTTATTACTGCTAGAAGAAAAAGCCACATATTTATAAAGGGGACAATGCTAATTAGTGAGCTCTCATAAACAGAATAATTTAATGGTATGTAAAGATCCAGATAGCCCTTTAGATTTTTGTTTCATGTCATTTCCGTCTCTTGTGAGAAGTTCTGAGGAGTGCTTTACTATATTGTAGTGCACCTAAAATATTCTAATCTGTATTATATATTCTTATAACAATACAGTAAAATTTAAGACTGTACTGATACTGTGATTATGTTTTCTGTAATTGCTGATATCAGTATTGCTGTATATCAATATTGTTCTAGTATTTAGTCTAAATACAGCCATAAAAATAATACATCTTTGCTTAAGTAAGACAAAAATCTGTTTAGAAACCACTCAGCATTTTTTTTAATAATTTGTTTTTACAGTCACACTTTTTGTTCCTGTGTCTTTTAATTCTAAATTAAAGAAACTAAACCAACTCTTTCACGTGTAGCTAAGAGCCGTGGAGCTAGCTAAGTGTTAGATAACTATGAGAGCAGCACCATCTAGTGTTAATATTTCATAAGAAACACTTCTTAATCAATATTAATATTTCTTCAAGGAAGAGTTTTGAAAGTTATCTTTGATTCTAGAATTGTAATTTAAAGTCACTGAAGGCAGTAATACATTCCATGAAAAAAAATGTAATTGTTGTGTGATTGCTTGTAATACTTAAGATGCAGGGCCATACCAGAAAGAAATAACCAAAATGGTATCTAAGCATTTCTCTGGTTTTGCAGGTAATATTTTTTAAATAATAATTTTAAGAAATAAATTCAGAAGATAAAGCAATACTTCAGTGTTTCTGGGAGCCAGAGGGAAGTGATTTTCTTACCTTCTGAGTATTGGTCTCCTTTTTTTCTTAAAAAAAAGTGAAAACTAATGTGAGAAATCTTCTTTTTTTCACCTCCACTTAAATTCAAGTATAAAGGAGTCTATTGGTGATATACAAATGTTCTTTAAGTTACCATGATTTTCTATGGTTAAATATATACTTCTGTGGAAAGCAGTGAGAATTCTGCAGAATTACTGTTTTAACCTTCTGTGGATTACCAAGATTACCCTTGAATAAAGCAGTGTCATCACTTACAGAAAAGCCTTTGCAGTTCATTTAAGTATGAATTATTATCACTTTATATTTTTTTTACTCTAAACTTCTTCCTGTAAATTTTCCTAAATTCGTGGAGGTGATTGATTTGTTATTCTGCTCTGCTGTGTCCAGCAAATATAACTTAGAATAAGCAGGTGAGATTTTTTTTTGAAAAGAACAAATCGGTGTTAGAAATCGTGAGTCAGTCTCCTGAATTGCGTAACTCAGGTGTAAGGTGTTTTAGATCAGTGGAATTACATAGATGTTAAAAAGGAGTCCGGTGTTTATGTCTTGGGGGTTTTTTACAGCATTTAGATATTTTAGAACAGCCATTACCTCTCAGGCATGAGAGGAATCATCTAAACAGGCTCTAGAGATTTAAAATTTCTCTTTTCTAATTCGTTATCCATTAGAATGCGTGTTGTATTACTTAAAAAATATAACGGTGTATACATTTCCTTTCTGTTTTCAGGCTTGTGTGGATGTACGAGCAAGCAGTGTATTTTGGCAACAAATGGAATTAGCAAAAACCATTCAAGGGCAGCCGACGTTACCAGAATGGCTCTCCACACACCCTTCTCATGAAAACAGAGCTGAGCACTTGGACCGGCTTATCCCGGAGGTGATAAAGCATGTCTTTTTCTCTTAGCAAGGTTGCCAGAATTAGTCTGGTATTGATTCATGAGCTTCTTTGGTATTGATTCACAGTTTACTCTTTTAGCATAATGCTTATCTTTCTCTTTATCCTCACAGAAGTTTTCTGTTACAAAGCTCTCACCCTTAAAGGTTTTATTAAATGAGGAAAAATTAGGATAGTACAAGTAAAATGTAATTATATTCTAGTTTGTTTTTTCTTTCCAAATTGAAGTGTAGTGTTTTTGCTTTTGAAAGACCTTCCTAATATAGATGTGACAATCTCATGACTCCCATCCGTTCTTTTATCCTTTTTGCCATTTTGGAAGCAACTTTTTATGTTGGGTCCCTCACCTATGTTGACTTCTCTTGCTTTGGTAGCTAGCCCTAGGCTGTCAGAAAGCAAATTTCTCCATCCTCTGCTGTCTCTCCCACTGGTGTGGGTTGGAATAGACATCGAATAGCTGTGCTTCAGAAGAATGTCACATCCACACTAGTGGATGACAGAACAGATATGGGAAGAAAAAAGCAGGCTGCAAAATCTACAGAGCCCTATCGTTACTTTAGGGAGCAAACTTGACCGCATTTCAAGGAACTTGAGCGCGTTCACACAACTGCCCATCAATCTGCAGTCTTTTCCCTGTTCATTCGTTCAGACTTCTCTCAGAGGAGCGCCAAGTGAATAGCTACTTGCGGATTCTCTTAATTTGATGTGCTACTTGCTGGTTGTTTAAGGAATGAGAACAGTTCCAAATTCAGTAATCTTACTTTGTTTACTATTTCTTTAAATAGTGGTTTAAACGTGAATTGTTTCTTGCCTATTTTTTTGTTTTGAAAATATAGTATTAAAGCATTTCACTACAGCACTGTTTTTCACGAAGCTGAACTACGTTTGGAAATTGCGCTTCCTTCTAAGCAACTGGTTATTTTTTAATATTTTTTTAAAAAACCTCTCAGTCACTTTACGACTTTCTCAGTTCCAAACTGCAGAGACAGTTAAAGATTTATTGGCAGAAGGAGCACTAAAATGAGGCGTTCGCTGATTTCAAAGGATAAAAAAATATTTTTGTGAAAGGGAGTGTAATATTCTAATTGGTGGCATGAATCAAAATCAACATTAGGGCTAGGAGGTTGGAGATTGGCTAGACTGAATATTTTAAGTTAATATACATAAATACCGTACTTCACAAAAACAGGTTGTGAAGGCTATTTTGATGGATTTTCTAACACATTAGAGCAGCTGAATGGAAAATGATACTTGCTGTGGAGCCTCAGTTTTAGATGGAACATAAAAGGATCAGGATCCTTTATTTTCATACAGCTACTGACTGTTTTATAAAGTGGTAATGAAATAAATTACTACTTATGTTCTACCCCAGGACTGAGGAAATAAGTTAACTGAACAACTGTAGAACTGGCAATTGTGTTATTTCTGTCTTACCTCTTGTAGTTTAGCAGGTGGAGCAACCTTCATCTTTTTGTAGCCACTCTCACTTTTTCTGAGAGCAGTGTAAGTTAGGAAATTTTCTTACAAAAGGTAATTGAGGAGGAGATGTTTTCATTTGCCTTTTGCCTTAAACATTATTTGGAGTAGGATGAGAAACCGAGGGCTGAGGGTTTCCTGGTTCTAACAGAAGTTCAGTAGGTAACCAAGGTTGCTGCTACAGAAGTGGAATAAAAATGGAAGAAGGTAGAGGTGATGTTGCAGGCTTCTTGTGCCTGAAGCATTTACTCCCCATCATCTGAAAGCTGCTGTCTTGAAACTGCATCTCAAGCCTTTAAAGGGAATCCCAGGGCTTTGTTGTTCAGTCGCAGACCTTTTTGTTCCGTTGTTCACATAGATACTGTTCTAAAAGGCTTTTTGTTTACCACCTATTAATGGCTGTTAGATATTCAGAGTCTGGAGGAAGAAACCAGATTTCCAAAAGGGCCTTTTTATCTCTCCATGAAGAAACTGTATTTCTTAAGACTTGGTGTCAGATCCATCATGAGCATTGTTGTGTTTCATATGCTGGTGGTTTTGAAGCTGAAATGGTTCAGGACAAGCAATATCTATTAGTAGACCAGCTACTGGGGAAAGTAAGGACAAGTGTTTGGACTTCTCTGGCCACACAGATGTTTCTCTACAGACTTGTAAGCAAGGTCACAATAAGATACCATCATATAAAGTGAGACTTTTTCTTCAGGTAATGAAATGACATGTCTCAATGAGGTCACTTAACAGGCTCAGGAAATGTGGATTAAAGTATGAATGCTTTCTTCACATAATTAGAAGACAGGGAGCAAATGAAATGAGTTTTTTAAGATCTTGCATCTGGTTTTCTGAACAGGTTGGAAGCTACAGCCAAGCAGAGGAATTAGTAAATAAGAGCTATAAGCAGTTACAGAGCAGTAGTGTCCTGGAAAGGAAATGAAAAAAGTTTCTATATTTTGAAAGGATTGTAAATTAGAAAAACAGAAGATACTGTTAAACAGGCAACTAAAATCTCTTAAAATTCCTACGTGGAATATAGTGAGATGCTCAGTGAAGGCCCATGCATTTTATTTTCAGAAAAAATCTTAAAATAATTTTGTAGCAGCAGAAAGGATGCCTACTGTTGTTCCAGAGAGAAAAGTTGTGGAAGTGTAGTGCCACAGAGAAGCCACAGGATCTTCTAGTTCATCTCAGAACCTTTTATTTTAATGCTCTCTGACTTGGTACAGTTTGTCTGGCTTTTTCCTGGTACGCTGGTCCAGTAGAGCCCTGTACATCAGCTGCAGCCTCAGCTATACTGAATAAAGCAGAAGGTTATCTACTGAGTCTTGCCTGTGACACAAATTCATCTTGACATGACATTTGCTTTTTTGGCATCATGTTGTTGGCTCAGATTCTATTTTTGATTCAATATAACTCCCGTTTCCCACTCTTTCTTGTGGAAATGCCACATTGAGATCATTTTGAGAGTAATACTAAGCTGGGATACGTCACCTCTACCACTTCTCTTTTGTTTGCTAGGACAATTGACTTGTGTTGCCAAAGTAAATTAACTTCTTTTTTTTTAAGACCTGTTCTCCTCAAATCAACGTTGGATGTTTATATTTTTATTAGTGCTTGTATTATTGCTTGGGTAGTTATTGTTTGTTCCTCAATTGACTGCCTTTTGGATGTCGAAGATACATTTATTTTGCTTCCTTTTCAAAAATGAGTCAGGATATTTGCCCTCTGCTATATGAAGATTACTTAACATAGTTCTAGTACTAGAATATATTAGTTAAGCCCTATAAGTGTGAAACTTAAAGGAAAATAAGAATAAAAAAATACTGACCAATGTTTCTATCCTCCCCGTAAAGTTGTTAAATATTTGGTTGCATTTTTTCTTTTCTGTACCAATAGAAGCAGTGAAAGATTTGAAGTATTATCATTATATGTATGTTGTTTTTCTTCTCTATCAACTAACATATCTAGCCATTCTTTTAATCATATTCTACTACTCCTTCATTTGTAGAGCCTATTGTCTTCCTCATTCATGCTAATTGTAATTAGTTTTGCAACTCAGCATTCCTTATTTTTTCTTTTTTTTTTCCAGTTTTTTTTTCGCTATGTGCTTGTGCTATTTCTTAGTTTTTGTCAGAATTACAAGGTCAGAGCATAAGTCAGCCCTGCCGAGGTAGTCACAGTTAATACACAAGAGACTACAACCTCTGGCCTGGTTTACAGACAGGAGAATGATGTGGCTTTTGCACGGAGAGAGCTGACAGCCTGAGAGGTAGGATGTACTCCAGAAGGCTGTAAGGGGTCAAGATACAGCAGTTAGCCTGATATCTGTGACAGGGGTGAGGGATTTATCCCCAAAATTACTTGTTTCTGTATTAGTCTCTGGTAGGCTTTGTATGAAAGCAGTAGGGTGAGACAGAGCTTCCTAATTCTTATGCCTTCACACATCCCTACCTGGAGCAGAGGACATTGAGGGGAGACCTAATTGGTCTCTACAAGTACTTGAAAGGAGGTTGTAGAGAGGTGGGAGTTGGTCTGTTCTCCCTAGTGGTGAGTGATAGGATGAGGCAAAATGGCCTGAAGTTGCGCCAGGGGAAGCTCAGAGTGGTTATTAGGAAGAATTTCTTTGCTGAAAGGGTTGTCAGGCATTGGAACAGCCTGACCAGAGAGGTGGTTGCGTCACTGCCCCTGGAGGTGTTTAAGAGAAGGGTAGATGTTGTGTTGAAGGACATGGGTTAGTGGTGTGATAGGGCTAGGAAAAGGTTGGACTCCATGATATTGAAGGTCTCTTCCAGCTGTGCCCGTTCTATGATTCTGTGATCCCAGCACATTACGGGAGATGACTGCAGTTGTATTGATAAGAAAACCATCTTTGTTATTTACAAGCGATGACTTTGATATTTTATTTGAGATCTCCTTAACCAGTCAGGTCTTTATTGTGAACAGCAGTACTTTCTGCTGAAGGTTAAAGTGGAAAGAGCAGCAATAAAGCCCTCCCAGTTCCCAGGTGAATCTGCGTGCTCACTTGAGCTAGTTAACCTCATGTCAGTTCTGTCCATCTTAGTTATTGAGAACACTCTTAAGTAAAAACAGTCAATGAAACGTGTTCTTATTATAATATTGATATGCATGTGCTCCATTAAGAATGCTTCTATTTGTCCTCTTACCCAAACTGTCAAAACCCAACTTACTTAAGCACTGTTAAATTACTGGATTTGAAGTGATTTTGGAAGTACAGTACGGCTGCCCATGTTGGGCTGTTTTATCTTTCAGGAAAAAATTATATTGTAAGCTCAGCCTGTTACTGGCATCTTAATGTCATTACAGAGCTCCTGGCACAAAACAAGATAGCAGCAGTCAAGTGAGCCAGGGAAAGAGCATTTTCTAACCAGGGTTCAACGTTTCATGGCAATCACAAACATACACACAAAGGCTACTTTCGCTAGGGTGTGCAGTCGTAGCTGGCTTTAACAGCGAGCTGACATGTCAACACAGCTTTCTGTTCTCGTGACTGTAGTCTTTTTAGTGGGGAGCTGATGGTGTTGACTAGATGCCTTCTACCCCTTGGACAGCTTTACATCTAGCAACAGCGTGAAGATAACCCCAGGGTAAAAATGTTAGCTCTGAAGTATTGGTTTTTACCTTTGCTGTTGTGACTTTAGTATTTTAGGTAAGTGAAATTATGAAAATAAGCCAGGCACTATGTAACTACAAAAAACAGAGATATGAAATTACTAAATTAGTTTAAAAGAGGATTACATTGCCCTTTCCAGGATACAGCCTAAATCTTTATACTTCTGTTTGCCTTGAGTGATGCTGCTTGACATTAATGCAGTCTTGCAGCAGCTTATGTTCTGGAAGAGAACAAGACAAAACTCTTGTTTGTCATAAATGTCAGCTTAGAAATTAATTGGTCACTGAAGCAGAAGAGTGTTCAGCGGTACAGTTACATTTGGTGACTACATGTCATGATCCTGCTGTTGAAAAACATACTGAAAGCTTTATTCATATTTTTTTTAAAGTTAGACAAGAGGAGTATTTGCATGCCTAATCCAGACTTGTGTATCCCATAATTTGAAGGTTACATTTCTGCAAGAAACAGCTGGAGAAACTCTTGCTGCATTCCCAGAATGCGTCTTTTTCCAAAACCAGTTTTTAAATTTTATATGTTTTGTAGCCATTTACAGCAAACTCCGTATCAGTTCACTGTTATAAAGTTAGGGAGAAATACATTTTGGTACCTCCTTATACAAAGAAATGAGTTAAGAAGCTCTGGTCTTCTACTTTAAAATCTGCTGTAGTAAGATGTTTCCAGTTTCTCCTGTGAAAGAATACCAGATTGTTTCAGTGATGGGCAGGTACTTATTCATAGGTGTACTGGAATATTTGATTTGATATTTCAGGCAAATCTAGTGCATATAAAACAGATTAAATATTTCTGCATTGTTTTTTAAGCACAGTCTTATAACTGCTAGGAAAACTCTTGTTACTTTTTTCCTCCTCTTTAATCCATCCAAAACAAATGAGTTGCTTCACACTTTCCGCTCACAGTCCTTCGTACTGGTCAGGAGGCACCTGGATTCAGCTGGGGGCAGGTCTGGCCCTTACTTTCAAGAAATAGTGGTTCTGAAGTGGAATAAAATACACACTGAACTTCCTTTCCCTTGAAATGGTTAAATATATAGCTGTGTGTTACTCGGCCCATAGTTTTATGCTGTTAATGAGGCCAAGATACAGATAATATTGCATAAAAGTGACCATACCACAGTGACCATTGACTCATGCTGAATATCAGGCTAATGTTTTACTGGGTTTTTCTTGGTGTTTCATTTTGCACATCTCGAAAAAGAAATTCTTGGCAGAGATGTAGAGCTGCTAAAATTCTGTGTGTGTTTTGCTTTATGATACATAGGATCTTACTTTACTGGATTAGTTTAAATGGGTCTTGTAGAAGAATCCATGGATACTTGTACTAGGATTGTGTACAGCTGCTTCCAAAATACTGCGTTGGACCCAGTGTGTGGGAGCCATTGGTAGCTCTAAAATGAGCCACTTGTTTGTATGGACTAATTAAGATGTGTTCAGCATTATTAAAATGAATGCCTACTTAAGCATCCTTTAAAACAGCTGACGTAAAAAAAATTTATATCAGTTTCTCCACAGTGCCTCTGAGACATGAGATTGATCCCTTGTCATACCTTTCTCAGATTGCCCACAAGATAGGATGATCTGGGGGGAGCCTTCTTGCGCTAATGGATTTTGATTCTCTGGGAAATTCTTGGGCTCCCTCGTGCCTCTGCTTTCTAATCTGTTGAGTGGAAGCAAGAATCACTTGAGGTTTGGTCTCCTAGTGCAAATCTTTTTAATAGATAAATTTTTACATTCCACAGACATTATTTTCTTGGATAGCTGTCTATTCAAATGTTTCTTGAGATAACATTTCTTGTATAACTGGACCTTAACAGTACTGATCAACTGTCTAACATTTGAATGTCCATTAACTTTCTGGACATTTTTTTCCTCCTTTTGTGAGTCAGACATCTATACATAGTTACTTCAGTAATAGAACATATCTAATGAAGTAAATTATTCACAGCCCTTTTTTTCTTGATGCAGTAATTTTAATTTACATAGGAATGTAAATGACAAGGTAAAAGGTGCTGATGCGGACAAGTATCATAAAATAGTTGGAGAACTTCCTGTCTATTTATGCTGTACCTTATGGAGTGTCCGTTCTTTGAGAAACTGAGAAAATGATTTTCATTCTTCATTTTTTCCCATTGTTTTACCAGATTGCCACATTTCTTCTCAGGTTTTCTTAGTTTCTGTTGCAAAGCTGTTCAATAACAACTCGTACTCGGTATTATACTCACTAAGCTTTACATGCAAATGCAGACCTTACTGGAAAGCCAAATCACTGACTGAAACCTTTTTTGTTTTTCTTATTTAAATGAGCTTGATTTGTTTTCCTATGTATTCACAGGCTCTTAAAATTAGAGAGAGCTGCAATTGCCCATCTCTTTCTGGACCAGATCCTCGCGTCCTTTTCAAACTTAACTTGCAACATCTCCTGGAATCCTCTGAAGATCAAGAAACCTCAAATTCTTCAACCCAAGATCTCTCAAAACCGAAACTGGATTTTCCTCGCATTCAAAAAGTGAAAGATATGCCAGTAACTTTTGCAGTTAAGCCTAAAAACTAATGACAGTAATTTTCACTTTTTATGAAACTTGTGTTCCCTGAACATCCGTCTTCCAAAGCAAATTTGTCTTTGAACCATGAAGAAGATGTAGCCACTCATATTTGGTGTTACTTTTATCTGATCTCTCACTCAAAGCAATAAGAAATCATGCCCACACAAGAGCAGCGTGTTGGAGCAGAAAGTTTCTTATTCATGTAGAGTTACTAAAATAAATCACTTCTCAGGGGAAAGATAATCTCATACAATCCAGTCACACAGTGTAATTTTCAGCTTTATCAGGCTCACCTTGATCAGAGGACAGCTGAGCTGGAAGCATCCCTAAAGCAGGGGAAAAAGTACAATTTTCATCACTTAAGTTGTCTGGTTTATCTTACTGTAATTTGGGTTAGATCTATTCAGCTTCATTTGTGAAATAATGAGGAGAGCTTACTGCCTGTTCCACATATAGTATGTTTAAAAATATTAAGCTGAGATGCGGTAATAGCCTATGGGCTGGATATACCCAAACTTAATTAGGTAGATTTACTGCTGGGATTTTTCTTCTTTCTGAGGCATTTTAGAATATGGATTGATTCAACATTTTTCTTCAAAGCAACCTGAAAGGGTTGGACAAAGTTTGATTTTTTTTTTTTTAAAAGGAGTTAAATAATTTTCAAGGAAGCCTTTCTTGTGGAAGAAACACTGTCTTAAGGACCAGAGGCTGGTAGCACTAGAATGCTTTGCAAGGATGGCTATTGTCTTTCTAAAATGACAAATACAACAAGATTTCTTAACTGCACAGCTTTTGCAGCTGTACCTTGTCCTAAAAGGTGACTTCTCTTCAGGAAACTGACATCTCCTGTTCAGCATCTCTCCCTCCCTGCAGTTCTGAAGCCACGCATTTTATACAGTGGAGACCAAGATGCACGATATGGGTAAAGCTCTGCCTTTCGTGGTGGGCTGGCCAGTCTAGCCAGCATGTTCATCGTTATTTGCACACATTTGAGATATGCTTGCTTTGCAGTTGATGAAAATACAGAAATGTGAGTCTTGCAGGAAGATACAGAAAGAGGTGGCAATCAATGAAAATAAAATAGGGAAGTCCTGTTCCTTCATTGGTTGAGATGTATTTGCTAATAGTTTTTTTGTGACTCAGTTGTATTAAAACAAAAATTTGTTTCATATATGACATGAAGGGGACATTCAAAGCATAATACAGTGCATTGTATTTTGAGACTTTGTTTTATAGATGGAAGGGGGCAGACTTTATTATATTTCTCCAATTAAATAAGAATGCAAGCTTTTAAAAAGGAAAAAATAACGTATTCAGTGCTGACCGTTCATATAATGGGAAGAGAAAACAAGACTGTGAAACAAGTAATTCTTTTACTGACTTCAGTCAGTGAACAAAAGTCCTTTGAGAAACACCAGCAACTACCTACGTTATCTCTGTCCAGAGGTAAGTTGATGTATTGGTGATGTTGGTGATTCTAGGTCTGATGATACAGGTCTAAGTTGGCTGCATTATCGCTTACAAGCTGTTTTTAAATCTCTGCTCAGTACTGCCGGCAAGAGGCAGAAGGTCCAGCCTGACGATTATTCATCCATCCATTTTTATTCTTAGTGACAGGAGTTTTTGTAACAGACATTCAGCATTTGGACGTTGTCATCTGAAGGTAAACAGAAAAATACACCATTTAGATTTCCCTGTGGACCTTCTAGTTTTACACTGCAACACCAAGACCCCGACGCTGCTGCCTCTCGCTCCGGTGTCAAATCTGGTTTTGTTATCCAGAGCTCCTGGTTGAAATGCAACTTGATGTGTATGTCTGTTAGGACTAAGGAGAATGTGGAGAGTTTTTACAGCATTCAAGATGAAGTACAAAATTACACAAGTTTCCAGTGTCTACTGTCTGTTTTGAGTGACAAAGTGTTGTATTAGGATGGTAAAGATGCAATTTTTAAGTTCACCAAGGGAGGTTTGTTTTTTTTTTTAATTTGTATGTAAATAGACTTGTCAGTGTGATCCTGGTGATGTGAGAGAAAATGTTTCAGGGGAGAGGTAATAGCTTATATTAGACCGACAAAGGCCTTATGTACTTTTTTCAACTATACTGGTCTAAGAGTTAGGCCTCTACACTATAGCTTGAAAGTCCAAAATGAGATCTGGAAAATTTCAGTTTTTACTTCTTGAATTATCCATCATATTTTTCTCAGGTGCTTTGGGAGGAGTTTCTGCTTTTTGGTATTCCTGACTGTCTAATACAGAGAATGCCTTGTGCTCATCTGCCTCTTGGAAGGCACTTCTTCATTGAATTGTTACTGAATACTGTACATTACCTCTGCTTATACTGTTAAAATGTTTTCTTCTTTCTTGAGCGGAAAAACGACAGAAATGTTGTTTTTCCAAAGCTTTCCAAGTCATAGTAAAAATTACACTTTTAAAATTAAAGAACATAGAATAATATAAAATTGTCTGTGCATATATAATAATACATAAAACCTGTAATATTTTAATATATGATCAATCATAATAATGATAATTTCAGAATATATCCCTTAGGAAAATAGTATGCTTGCAAGCTTTTCATTGCAGAAACAGTCACTGCAGAAACTTTTCATTGCAGCTGTGTAGCTTAGCGCATCACGGAAAGACTATAAGTGGTGTTGAAGAATTCAGTACTCATAAGAGACACGTCGTACCAGAGGCAGAGTTGTGGCTAGGGTGGAAAAAGGTAAGATGGATGGGTGAAAATGCATCTGCGTTTCCACTACCAGTACTGCATGCTGTGCTTCACAGCTTCCTGTTGAAAGGCTAAATATATAGTGCAAATTTCACTAAAGTTCTTAATGTATTCACTGTAGTGGAAGTGTAGAGAGATTTGATAAGTAGGGAATGTGCAGTCAAGGCAGTCCTGTAATAAGAATGGCTCCTTGTGCTTTTGGTTTGTCATGTTTACTCTTCTTTTTTTCTTTTCTTTTTTTTTGTTTTTAAACTTCAAATACGTAAGTGCCAGGAAAGCAAAGCAAACAGCTGTTAGAATGCTCTTTGTTCTTGAATTCTGTTTGTAGTCATTAAAAGAAAACAATCCTGCAAGCTTGGTGCTTTTCTCGTATGTTAT